TTTAAAACACAAATGAACTTGTGCAAATTAAAAGAAACACAATTCATTGCCAAGCTGAGCGCTGCAGAAGGGTCTCCAGTTCCCGTCTTCATATCTTGTGAAAATAGCAGGTGCTGCAGTGGCACTCTGTGTGGTTTCTCACCCGTAGGTCGGACACCTTTGTCTGAAAGAGGCACAGATGAGGAGGAAGACACAAGAGTGATTATTATTTCTTTTTTTAAATTTATTTTACACAGTTTTTATTGAAAGACAAGAGACAATACATAGACATAACAAGAGGACAACAAGAACAGTGGGATACAAGCCAGCAAACATCATATAGTCAGTGCGTGTGTGTGTGTGTTTGTGTGTGTGTGTGCGTGAGTGCGTGTGTTTGGGCGATAGTTAGGGCCACGAGGAGTAATCGGCGGTTTGTTTTGCTCAGATTCATTGTTGAGATGCCTCCTAGTAAACACAGTGAAGGGGATAATGGGACGAGGCAGCCCAGGAAGACAGACAGTGACTCAGTTATTTCTTTCCAAAAGTGATTAACTGGTGTGCAGTGCCAGGTGGCGTGAACATAGCTATCTGGGCTGTTTTAAGTGCAATGTGGACAGATGATGACGTGAATCCCATTTTAAACATTTTTTGCCCAGTATAATGAATTCTGTGAAGTATTTTATACTGTATTAGTTGTAAATTGGCATTTTTAGTCATGAAGTAAATATTATTGCAAACTTGATTCCATAAATCAGCACCAGGAGTGATGGACAGGTCTGATTCCCATTTTCCTGATGGTATGGATGATGTTTTGTCAGACTGTGATATTACTCTACATATTTTTGAGATTAACTTTTTTGAAGAGGGGATTTTAGTTAATTCTGAGGTTGAGGGGGGTAGTTCTAGGTTAGTGGCCTTAGTGTTGAGTTTGGATTGAACAGATGATTTGAGTTGCAGATATTCCAAAAATTGATTGCTCCTGATGCCGTACTTCTGAACCAAGTGGGGGAATGAAACCATGGTGTTATTATTGAAGATCTGTTTCAGATGAGTGATGCCTTTAGCGGACCATGTGTGGAGATTTAGAGGTGTCTTGTGACTTAGAAAATCAGGATTGTTCCATATGGGAGTACAATTTGAAGGTGCAAATGTGATGTTCGTGATTTTGTGGAATTTCCACCAGGCTGTCAGAGTTTCTGCTATTGTTAGTATTTTGAAACAAGGATGGCGTTTGATAGATTGGCTGAAAGATGGTAGGTCAGAAATCTGAATGTCCTTACAAACTGTCTGTTCTATAGCTAACCATGTGTTGTCTGATTGGTTGGGGTGGATCCATTTAACAATGTATTGAAGTTGATTTGCTAGATAGTAGTGAAAAAAAATGTGGAGCTTCAAGTCCTCCTTGTGTTTTTGGTTTTTGTAGAGTGGCCAGTTTAATTCTTGGTGTCTTATTTTTCCACTAGAATTGAGTAATGATTGAGTCAAGCGATTTGAACCAGGAGTGAGTGGGTTGAGATGGTATCATTGTGAATAGGTCATTTATTTTAGGAAGTATTGTCATTTTAACTGTAGCTATTCTGCCCATGAGTGATAGTGGTAGGTTCATCCAGCGGAGGAGGTCGTTATTTATTGTTTTAAGTAATGGAGTGAAATTGAGTGTGAACAGCTCTGACAGCCTGGGGGAAATATTTATTCCCAAATACGTGATGGCACCTTTTATTATTATTAAAGTCAATCAGTATTTGTGTATGATTAAAATGCTCTTTTTAGCAGTTTGAGCAGTCGAAATGTTCTAAACTCCTCTGAACAACAGAACCCAGAATTAAACTGCAAACCAAATTAAAACCAAACATCTGGAGAATTACTAAAAGTTCTCAGGTCCTTTGAATGTAAAAAACATATGTGTACACATATATATATAAATAAATCGTTGATAAATCCAAACTTAAAGTACTCATTCTGCAGAACGTTGCCCCTGTGACTGATCATATATCACAAGATGGTTCCGGGGTTGGTCCCTTCTAATTAGTCTTTAGATAAATCTGTGTGTGGGGGGGATGATTAAAGTAGAAAAGAAAAAACAAAGTCTCATATCAACTCTTTGTTTTTTGTGAAGTATTTGATATTTTTTACCTCTTTGAACCTCAATCAGTGAACCATCTGAGAAGTTTGAGGGTAAATGTCTCTTTGGTGGAACTGCAAACAACTAATAGATCTCTAAAACATGGCAAGGGGCCCAAAGTACACACGGCTTTATTTTAAAGTGAAAGGGTCGGGAACCACTGGTTTATTCTTTAGCAATACAATGTTAGCGTGTCTTTTCTGTTATACAGTAGAAGAATTAAACATACAATTGAATTATTTAAGTTCTACCTCACAATTGTACTCGGTTAAATGTACTTTCCACAACTGCTGACCTAACGTGACCAAAGCCACTGAAATATCCCCAAACTAATCTGAACAAAAATCTGAAAACTATAGATCTATAAAATACAATTTAGACTAAAAGTACAACAATAATATTCTCGACTATTTCCAACATGGAGCATTTTGTTTCAGAGTATTTCATCTGCAGATTTGGGGAAATATTTAGTCAGCATCGGTCTAACATTTCCCACTTAAACTCATTTCAATAGGCACACCATTGACAGAAAAGTTTGCCAGACAAATCTTTTGTCTGTACCTGTACTTGTACCTCGTAGCTGTGCTTTGCGACACAGCATGTTGACTCCGAGGTGATGCTCTTTGGGACCGTCATTGTCTTCATGGCCTTGAGGGGTGTTGGGTACGCTCTGGAGAAGCAGCAGCCCATGCACTGGTAGATCCCATGGAATGAATTGTGCCTCCTCAGTGTGCACTCCCCACAGCCCACTGGAGAAAGACGAGACCACTTGTTATACAGGGACATTTCAGTTCTAGGATTAAAAACACAGTGTACAATCTTTGTGAATAGAGATGAATTAAATCAAATTGTGCTAATTTACTGAAGTAAATCCTTGGTTTGTGTACTAGATTTCAGAGTATAGTACTAAGTACTTGTATTAAAATGACATCTTACCGTTTGATAAGTCAAGGTTGGGGTAAGAATCTGCAATGTAAATAAGAAAAGACAACAGAAGAAGAGACAGTCCAGCTGATTTCACCGAGCCCATGGTGGTTACAGCAGTTATCTAATGATACAGAGACAAAAGAAAATGGTCAATCAACGGTCTTTTGAATCAAAGCATGAGTAACTCAGAGACAGAGTATTACCGTGTTGAAAGAAAGTTCCTTCTTCATCGTGCATCTGTGCAGGAGGGCTTTTTATTGAGGACTAGTGCTTCCCTTCAGTGTCGTTTTATATCGCGTCCCCCAGTGTGGGGCCACTTCCTGGATTAGGTGAAACCTACCAACCTTATCAACGATCTCAGTGACTCACTGGCCACTTTGCTACCTTTCTCATAATCCCTTTAAAGGGCAAAATGACAAGAACAAATCATGGAAAGTCAAAACATACTTCCATCATACTTCCATGGCCTATCTTTCCTTAAGTACTAAACACAGAGTCTGCCTCTGCAATGTGCTCAACAGTGAGGGTATCTTTGTGCATATTATTGTGAGAGATTGCTTTCGGTTGGATTCATCTTTACAGTCTATTGATGCAATCTGTTAGGAATAAAGAGAGAAAAGAAAATCAAAGAAACAGTACATTTAAATGTGATCCAATGACTATCTGTCACATCTGGCAACACTGTTGGGATAGTTTGTGATGATGAATCAAACAAATGTTGAGTGTTTGCTTGTTTGATTCAAGTTCAAATAAGTCCGTCTTCGGTCCAATTGTTGGTTTGTTTAAATGATCATGTTACACAAAAAACATGTAAGACTTAAAAATAGCCTAAAGTTTCTGTTTGCAGATTGATAAAATAAGATATAACACCACTGATCACTTGTTGAAACGGCCAACGTAATGACTTTGTGTGTACAAGTAACTGTGTTACTGTGAGTCATCTCTTACCTCGTCCATTAGCTGCTCCTGACTTTTGGTCATGCAGATGCAAAGCAAGTAGGTTTGCTTGAAGTTTCCCTTTCCTTCATATCCCGGATACTCTGAGCACATTTTTGCGAGTACAGCAGCTTTATCAACACTGTCCACTTTGATTAGATGCTTTATTCTCATATTCAGAAGCGTGGCACCTTCCAACTCAAGATACTCATGAACTATGAAAGAAAAAGTAGAAAAAGACGGAGGCAAAGGGTAAGAAGCTGCACACAAGTATAATACACACATTGAACAATTACAATTTCGTGCAACTACAGCTGAACACATCAGTGCAGTGCATCCTCAAAGCCAATAAGAACTGACCTTGCTCAGTTTGAGGGATTTGATTGGACATGATGCTGCTTAGTGTGTCGTTGGACCAGACGCCGTCCTGTTGCGCTAGAATTGAGAGGAGGCAAAGCTGTGTGCTCCCACTTTCTTGCAAGAGGCTGTGTGCCAACTGCAACAGAAGATAAATAAAGATGTAGTAACCTCATTACTAAAACCTCAGTGAGTCATACTTACCGTTAGACTGTCTACATTCTAAAATAACTGTTCAGACAACGTTACTGTACCGAACGTGTCACCATGCAACAGTTTACATTTCTTGAAAAGCAGCAGTGAACAAAACATTTCATGAAATGTTGTTAGTGTCAAGACATTCCCACAGATCCAAACATTTAGCTCGTATGTTTTTATTACCTTTCAATGATGAGCTAAATCAAATGCATTCTAATAACCAAACAACTTTCATTGCTTATCACTGCAGATATAAGCCTCAGACAGAGTCCCTAGAAATACTGACCTTCATGGAGGACTGAAACCCCTCCCATAAGGCACCAGGGACATGCTGGGGCATTAAGAGCAACAGCTCCGCACAGCTCCTGCGAACCCAACACAGTTATTTGTTAAAGCCACATTTAGGTCAAGGCTGTGCACACACTCCCCAAATTAAGGGGAGACGTACAAGAATAACTATTCACGAAGTGTCGGGCTGTAAAGACAGTGTGGGACCTGGGAAACAGAAAAACACTATAATTACAATAAAGCCACTGATGGAGTGATTGTTTTTTATATTATAGCAAGCTAGAGAAAATACCTGGATAATGGAAATCATGTTTGTAAAATCAAACAATATGTATTTAAATCCCAAATATATTTCTTTAACACTAAAACAATTTGTCCATCAAGCAAAACATGCAGAATATTCTCTGTTTCCAGCTTTTCAAATGTGAGAATTTATATTTTCCTCTATTTTATAATCATTTCAAATTATATTTTGTTTTTGGCCAACTGTCTGGGGAACAAAACATTTGGAGACATTACCTTTCACACTGGAAAAAATGGGAAACCTAATTAATAGGCACTGTTCACTATTGTCTTGTATTTCGTAAATAATCAATTAAACTGGCAGCTTTATCAATAATGACAATAATATTTAGGGTTTCAGGCTCATTTTTCCTTCTGTTTTTGTCCTCATTAAAGATGTTTATACTTTCTAAACTCAGCAGTTGTGTAATTACATATAGGCACATAATGCTTAGTGATACTCCTTGACCAATAGAAAAGAGCGGAGAAAACTTAAGGACAAAATGTATGCTTCATAATCATGACAGCATAAAAATCAAACGTGTTTAGTGATTAAAGAAGGACATAATTATTCTGTTCTCAGACCGAATACAAAGATGTGATGGCAATTTAGATTAAATGTAAAAAAAAAAAAAAAAAAAAAGTCTACTTTCAAATTTGTGCTTTAATTTCAAAAAGCCACAACTAAGTTTTAGATGAAGAAAAAAAGCCATACCCTCACAAACTATCAAGGACGTAAAAAATCCTGTTATTATACACTGATTACACAACACAGCCGAGATGTAGACACCTAAGACAACAAAGCACCAAAGTTGTGTGTGGCTTGGCTGACTTTGGCATCCTCCCCTTTCTTCCCTTATGACCCAGCTCGACTAACGCCTCACCTTCATCAATGAGAACTCCCTCCATTTCTTACGCACACATATTCATAGACATCCATTAATGCCTCCATCATGACCTAACTGATCAAAACCACAGCATGCAGCCCGGGGCTCGTCCCCTTTTGTTGCTCAAATAACGGTTCAGTTCAATGAATTCCTGCGTAAATGTGATATAGAAAACAAACCAATAGCCAAAAACTAATTTGGTGCAATGAGAGCAACCCCTTTGCTGTCTCAGTTGGATGTCAGCTAAATGGAGACCTCGCATGATATTTTCGTGGCCAGGGCAAATTAATGAGGAGGATGTGTAATGGAGTCAGTGACCACTGCCACACTTTCCCTTTTTAAATCACTGTCTCAGTCAGCTGCAGGCGGATCGCTCGCTCTAACATTGACATCAATCTAACACATTTAGCCGGTGCTGGCGATATCGCTGTAATAAACAATGATGTGGCTCGCTGGATTAATTAGTGCAAAAGGCCTGGGCTAGCACCTTGGAAAAAAATCATTGATCTTTCCGTCCAATAAAACAGCTTTACCAAAGTAACCCCCTTTTTACACTCAGCGAAAACCTAAACCAGCAAGAAGATGCAAGCGTTATAAAGTTTGAATGGTATTTTCTACGAGGAATGCAGACGTATAATTCAATGCATATCAATGCAATCGCCCTGAAAAATCTCGCTAACGTAGCTACCCATTTTTTTTTTTTTTTTGCACAGCATGACCACTGCACAGGGCAGGGGGACCCTGCATACCAGCTAGCAACGTTCATCTGCCATTAGCTATGTGGCCTGGAAAATACGAGTAATACATGCACGGCGCGCACACATTGGTGTGACTTCTCGCCGCGCGGATGGTGAGACTTTGCACATAAGTTCATGCCACGGACAAACGTCCTTGAAAGAATGGCTGAAAATCACGGAGGAGTTTTTTTCCCCATCTTGAAATGCCAGAAAAAGCTAGCCAGGCAGCTAGCTCCTTAGCTACATTGTTGTAGCAAACGTAGACGCGCATCCTCGGCCAGGAAGCCAGAGGGGCTGCAGGCTGGCCGGGATGAGCAGCAGGAGAACGGGCTAACCTGGCAAAACTCCTGGCAGAAACGCAGAGAGGCTTCCAACGGAGACTGCGAGCTCTCTTTCAAAGCTGTGGTCAGACCCTGGAACCGCTCTCGGAGCTCCTCGAGAGCTTTCCGTGTGTCATATTCCTTCTCTGTCTCCCCCTCCGCCATCTTCACAACAATCACGACCGCGTACGCACAGATGTTACGCTGCCAGACCCGCACACGCACGCGCACGCAGAGGGGGGAAGGGAGAGCACACAGTGTGCTCCACATACACATACCCCTGATGTCAACAAAGCATCCATGGCCTTACAGTGATCACACTCTGCACACAGACTGGACGTGAAATGTTTACTTAACAGCTAGTCTAAGAAGGATTGGGCCGCTGGATGCCCCTGACTCCATGCTATTACCGTCCATGCAAAGACCTCCAGGCACAGCATCCTTTGACGAATAACCTCCAACATGAAGCAAAATCTATTATATTTTCACACACGTTTTATTAATATCTCCAAGGTACGATATTCTTGTCTTGGCCCAGAGTAGTCACACAAGTGCCCTCAAGGCTCAGCTTCAACAACATCCCTGATGTGCAGCGTGACTCTTCAGCAGAGCACGTGTCTTCCAACAAGCGTCAGTCAGTTGAAAGACTCCTGGTTAATCACCGGGCCTAAAAGGCAGCATGTAACTTAGCATGTTGCTTGATAATTGGCATTAATGCGTTTATGATTGTGTTTGTAAATTATAAGGAGCATTAAAAAAAGCTTTTGAAGAATGAGGCAGAAATACCCCTGTTATTGTATAGTACCTACAATGAATTCTTGTTTTGTATTAAAAAATAATTATTCCACAAAAGTGAACTGATTGGTTTGCCTACTTTTCTACACATCACCATCTACACAACCTATAAATGAATTAAGCATTTAGTTTAACAATGATTTGAATTCTGAAGCACTGAGTTTTTTGTCATATCACACAATCTCCAGCAGATGATCACCATAACTTTTTCTTTTTTTTGGGGCTTTTCAATGACTTCTCTCTGATGTTGGCTTAAATATCAGTTCTGTTCAGCTACATGATATATATTTTGGCTTCCACTTCTAATTGGAGAATCAGATTTGTCATGGCGCAATCCTGTTATCAACCTCAAAGCCAAATGTCCCTTTCAGACAGTTACTTGTGTTACTATTCCTCACATTTAGTTGCTTTAGTCGACATGGTTGTCCAAAGTCACTTAGTGATTCGTAACACACACACACACACACACCACCATCCCATGAATTTCACTGTAAGAGACGTTCATGAAAATGCAACATCTGGGTTGCACATTTTAATTGCTTTTCAATCTACAATTAATCACGTACATCTATCAATGCAAATAAAGGCTAATTACACAAACACACAATTGCTACAAAAATATTATCTGGCATCATGTGAACAGACATTTAAAACACAAATGAACTTGTGCAAATTAAAAGAAACACAATTCAT